TAGATACAGATACCACATTTTTATATCTAGATACTTAAACAACTCTGGTTAATACCAATATTGAGTACATGAAAGTTGTGATGCACTATCAAAATTAGGCATAAAAGATCAATCTTTTAATTTTAACATCTAGATTTTGGAAGATTTTTCTGAGGCGAGAATTTTTTTATATTAAAATGATTTTTTTGGAGCATTAAAGTAACTAATTATCGATTTGGAGTCACTTTATCATGCCACACTTTATCAGGGCGACACTTTATCACTCAGTCACTTTATCATGCGTCATTTTATCTTGCGACACTTTATCACGCGTAAGAAAATTTAAGTGGGGTGTTTTTGTAAATAATTTATGTTAAACGGCTCGATTTGATAATACTTATGAAAATTAAAATATGAGTTAATACAAAAAAAATTAATTAAATATCGGAATTCAAACGTAAAAGTCAAAAATGAGATATTATCAAAATTTAACTTTTCAAATATATTATATTAAGTTTTAAGTATATCATGATAAAGTGTCGCATGATAAAATGTCGCGTGTTCAACTCTCGCATGATAAAGTGTTGCGTTATAAATGACTGAGTGATAAAGTGTCGCCGTGATAAAGTGTCTCGTGATAAAGTGTCGCGTGATAAAATGTTGCTAGGCGCTAATGATCATATAAAATTTATTGGAACCAATCATAATTGAAAATATAATAATTTCGAACACAAATGATTAAATTTTAGAAAATACAAAATATTTAAAAGCGAATATAAAACTGTTAAAAAATATTATTGTTATTTACCTGTTGTAAATCACGATTTAAGAGTATGATTTAAAAAGTTAATCAAAATATCGTTCATAAATGGAAATTTACTTTTCTTTGCGATCGCCAATTTTTTAAATAATTTGTTCTGAGTTGGGGATTGGATCTCGATGTATATCAAATGAAGCTAGTCAGTCGGTTCAATAAATTTAAGATATCGTACTTTTTATTCTCTGTAATTAAGTAAAGGCCCTCTCATTTATGCTTGTACTATTTGTTATCATTGCCAAAATATATAGTAATATATATTTGGGAAAACTCATAATAATATATTTTAAAGTATGCAATGCTTCCATTGTATTTCTTGGAGGATTATTTACTAAAATTAATTTTAAGATTTAAATTCTGAAATTAATTGGCCTTCAGATACATTTATATCCTTGAATAAAATGTAGCTAACTATTTTATTCAATATCAAGATTTAATATATCCTTAGATCAGGGAGTTATAAGATATAGGAGCTATTGATGAATCACAAATCTTTCATTAATTGAGTCAGAAATGTATCTAAAAGTGGAATAAGAGCAATTATTTTATAGTAATCCTCAATTGAGTTTTTAATATTGGATCGATTAGTTCTTCGGCTAAAGCCTAGACTTGTGAATCTCAAAATCATATCATTTTGCTTTAGACTCAATAATCACATAAATCTAAGAGAAACTCTTAGTCGATATTATTTTGTTTTCTACGTTGTAATATAATAATATTCGCGATTCTCATAACTTCAGCCAAATCCATATCATATATTTGAAAAATATTGCATAAAATTGTTGTAAAAAATAATTCACAAGTTTTGTGACGAATTATTGTGACTATTCCAATGAAAAATATCGGCACTTAATAATGTTACGTTTGAGATGAGATATCTTTTTCAGGTCATACCATGATATTTCTCCAAGGGCACTCAAAATAGGCTCTTCTAGATCCAAAAAATGTTGTAACAGCTTGAGTCAAAGGCTCCTTCTTGTCGGTTGCAGTTTCTTTCTTCCGGTAGCACAAGAAGTCTCAGCAATATTTATATTCTGTCTGAACTTTTTATATACTCCAGAAATTTTGCAATCATAGTTATTAGTAGAGATCCAGATTTGGTTGATAAAATCTTATTAGTTAAAAAAAATTTAAGAAAATTAAATTAAATTTTTGTGAGATAAAACAATTCATGAAAACCTTTTATATTTTACTAAAAAAATTTCTAGGAGGTGGAGGTTGACTACGCGCCAGCTGGGCCATTTAAAAATTTAAGCCAATTCTTAGAAAAATAAATAAGTAGGGGAGACCGGGGTTATATTGTCCATAAAAAATTGAGAGGCTGTGAAAAGGAGAAGAAATAATTTATCAAAATAATTTTGATGTTATTTTATTCTTTATATAATTATCTACGGTAGAAATTAATATCTAATAAAAAAATATTATATATTTTTTTAAATTTAAATTTAAAAAAAATGAAAATTTTTGAGTCATGAAAAAGAGACGGGGGATGTATTGTCCTTTTGTGGGGCATGTTTTATACTATCATTTTCTAAGCATTTTATTCATTTTTTTCATATAAAAATCATAACAAACATATAATATTAACATACAACACATTTATTACATATAAAAAATGGATTAAAATCACAACATGATCCATGTGCCCATAAATGACAATCCAATCTTCATTATGGTGGTGAGTTTGATAGTTTTTGTGGCACACTAAACAAAATTCTTTTTTGCCAGCATTCATATTTAAACTTTTTTTATTATTGGTTTGATTTTTTTTCAGATTATTAGCCCTAGATCTGGCTATTTTTTTGTAAGGTGAAGAGGGGAGGGAGAGTCAATAGAACTATACCACTGTCAGAGCACAGCTCAATGACTTCAATAGATTGGTGAGATTTATGATTATCTAATATAAGCAAAACTTTTTTATCTTGACTGGGCTTAGTGTATTTTATAAAATGATTTTAAAAATATATTAAATCTTCAGCCAGCATCCACCCAGAATCATTAGACACGCCAATGCATCCTACAGGGCCATCTCTTAAATAATGATCATAAAATTTTTTCCTGGGATATATAAACATAGGTGGAATAGAATTTCCTAGAGCATTGACAGCAATTGCCAAGGTCATAAGTGTACCACATTCTGATGTAGTAATTGCCACAACCTGTTTTTCACCTTTCCTTGCAATAACTTTATTAGGCCGTTGAACTGTTGTTAATCCTATGAAAATATTAAAGATTTGCTATCATTTATATTTTAATTAACCAGTTTCATCCATATTATATATATCACATGGTAGAAAGTTATTTTCCCTTGTGACAGTCAAATAATTAAAAAATAAATCAACCATTTTCATATTAAAATTGGTAGCCCTGGCTATACTTGTTGTAGCCTCTGGTGTTCTCAAAGAAATGGTTGGATTTCTTTTAATAAATGCTCCAACCCAGTCTTCACCAGCTGATTGAGTTATTTCACAAGATTTTGGTACTTGTAAACTATACCTCTTGGCCATTTGATAAGCTAAAACTCTAACCTAAATTTAAACATAAGACATTAAATTATTTATATATTAAGGCAATCTAATTAAAATCCTAATTCTTAAATTTTATTCTGAATTTATTTAATAATTAATATAATAAAATATATCATACATAATTAAACCTCTAATGTATAGGTAAGAACCAAAATATGTTTTAATGCATGATATAATTTAATGCTAAATCAATGAATAAATCATTTTAAAATTAATATACATGGCAGCATCATTTTATTTATATATCATACACACATAATTAAATCTTTAATATACAGGTAAGATATGATTTAATGCATGATATAATATATATAATGCTACATTGAATAAATCATTTTAAAATTAATATTAATACATGGCAGCATCATTTTAAAATTAATATATATACATGGCAGCATCATTTTATTTACATATATATATCATACACACTTAAATAAATATCATTCTAATGTATAAGTTAAATTCTTACTTTAAAGTATTTTAAAATTAATAAAGATGTTTCATTAACATATAATGTAAATAATTTAAAAAAATTTTCTCAAGTTTATTATTATTTAACTAAAGAAATACCATGGCATAAATTTAAAGATTATAAAAAAAATCATTTTACAGAGATATATGATATAACAAAGGATTAAAATACTTGATTAGGGCATAATCCTGAAAATAATCTTGATCCTTTAATTAAATAATCTGTTAATTTAGCTTCTTGAATAGGAGAATATACTGATCTGTAAAGATATCGCTCTTGAAAATCTTCATTTCTTTTGAACAATTTATTATACCTCTTAATGCTTAGTTTCTTAAATATATACTAATTTAAATATATAAATATACCTCCCATAACTTAAATTCGTATTCATGGTTATAACTGTCAAAGGTATCTTATATTTCAGCATTTGAAGAATACTTGCCTTTTGATTATCATTATTTTCTTTGTTAGTTTTTCTAAGTTAATCAGAACCAATATTTTAATGAATGTATGTAAAAGGAAAAGACGCACCCCGCTAATACCTTCCCCAGGTCCACAGGATCATTTAAAAATTAAATTTAGAATATTAAAATAACATAATGATTGTCAATATTTTTATATATGATAAAATGGAGATTTTTTTATCATTTAGAATTTATATTAAGTCTGAACAACTTTTATAAAAAAAGTTATTCGTGAAAATGTAAAATTTAAAAAAGTTACTTTGGGTATGTTGAAACTTAAATTTGCATTTAAAATTTTTCATGAGCAATTTTGTCCGAAACAATTTTGGATCTACTTAAGCACCTTATTATAATACATATTGGGCTTAAATTACAAATCTTAAACTTTATTAATTTTTAAATTATTTGAGAAGGAAATACCTACCCCGGGAACACACTATCCCCGGTCTCCCCTACTGCTCATATTTTCATCATTTTCCCTTCAAAACAATTTACAAAATACAGCCATTATTCAAAATAAATTTTAAGAATCGGGATCAATAATTTTTTAAGAAAAAATCCGGATCTGTTCCGAAATTTTGACCTCTATAGATCTCTGATATTTCTTCCTTTTTAAAAATTTATCCCATCTAGCCCCCTTAATTTCTTTACATTTATCTTTTTTTTCGTTTATACGAATTCTGACTATTTTATGTAATCTTATAGTCGTATTTATTTTTTTTTAAAAAAATTTTTTTCAGGTCCTGGATTAGCTTTTGTGGTCTATACTGAAGCCGTTGCTAACATGCCCTTTCCTTATGTATGGGCCTCTTTATTTTTCCTCATGATTTTTACTGTTGGAATTGATTCTCAGGTTACTTAATTGTGTTTATTATATTATGCTTTACATCGTTGGTATTATAAATACCTTGTTATTCTCTTTTTTACTTACAACTGTATTATTCTTTCCTTTGTTTTACACCATTGTAAAATTATAAACAGAGCTTTTTATATGATATTCACTTGAAACTGGTCCTAGCCAGTTTAAGGATGGCCAATATACATATATACTTTATAAAAATACTTCGATGGATTTTTTTTTGGTAAACAAAACTGGCAGTATATAAGAACAAAAAAAATATATATTTTGATTGATATTTTTTTATTTGAAAGAATTATGATTCTTTTCTTTTAGTTTGTATTTTTTAACCTAAAAATTTGCTTCTATCATAACCGACGTATGTTTAATAAATGTTTTCTTCTTTGGGGTCTGCCCGCGACGGGAGTTGGATACGATGACAAAAATGCCCGCTAAGTCCGGTCCCCCAGTCCTAATCTTCGACAATCCCTGACCATGGAACTCCGTCGATCCCTCCTTATCACTCATGGTTGAACAGACAATGATCATGGCTCCAACCATTTCATTAATAAATTAGAAATGTATTGTAAACTTCTTCTTTTTTTATTGAAGATAATTCAGTTATAACGACATGCCCTTAATTTTTTTCGATATAACATTCAATTATTATGATGGGATTTTATATATAATTTCGCCCTTCACGGAACAGCGAAATTGGATGGGCATCTTAACCGATAATGAAATTATATTTTTATATTCATTATTTTAAAATTACTTGACCATTAAACTAATATATATACCAATTTATGAATCGGGTTAATAGCTTATTGGCACTAAATTGTTCTATTTTTGGTTCAAATAATTTAAGGTTACCTTATAAAGAGCCATTGAAAAGTTTTAGATTCAATATCGGGATTTAAATATTTATTTAACCTTTCTGCACTATATAGCGAAATGCGACCATTAAACCCTGCTTTTTATTATTAAACGATTAAAAAAATGAATAATGAAATTATTTTTTCAAAAAATATAGTTTGCCATGTTTGAAACATGTGTTTCAGCGTTCACTGACGAATTCCCTCAGTTTTTGGCCCGGCGTAAACTAGCATTTTGCGGGTTCATGTGCGCTCTCTTATGTTTGTTGGGTATCCCTTCTGTTGCCCAAGGTGGCATGTACGTGCTTCAATTGATTGATCATTACAGCGCCGCTTTTTCTCTCATGGTTATATCTCTCCTTGAGCTGTTTGCCATCAACTACGTTTACGGTAAATGTAGAAATATATTTGTGTTAGGGCTCTTGTATTGGGGGGGGGATGGTATATTAACAGAATTATCGTATTTGTTTAAAATATGACAGTTTAAAAATTGCACCAAAAAATATTTTAAGCAAATTTAAATCTTAGTTTTATAATATTAGTTTTCGAGGAAATTTGACGCCTAAAGAATTTTGACATGACATCCGATTATGACGTATTTATTTTATTTCTAATGTTAGATTGGATCTAGATTTAAAGGGCTTGCTTGTTGAGTTTTTAACTTTTGTAACTGACTGATCCCACTGAGTTTGATGGTAAGAATGGCGTTCTAATTAATAAGCTAGCTGTAAAATATTAAGCAAAGTTTGTAACATATTTAAAAAATTTATATTCTCATTAATTGCAACACAATAGGCACGGAGAAATTTATGATGGATATAGAAATTATGATTAACAAGAAACCATCTGCCTACTGGAAAATATTATGGAGATACGTGACGCCAGCCATCATAATTGTAATTTTTTAATTTGGTCTACTTTATTATTTATTTTCTCTTACAATTTTAATTAGGGCTGTGTAGATATTAAATATCGGATCGGATCGGTACCGATATTTAGCGTTTTCCAAAAATATCAGATCGAGCCGATACCTGTAAAAAACCAATCCGATCCCTTTTTCTTTTTTTTTGTTATTTTATGTGTATATTTATTTTACATTATTATAATTTTCAAAATATTTTTTTTTAAACAATGCTAATTAAATTTAAATAGATTTATAGTATTTTAAAATTTTTTTTTATAAAAATAGAAAGGAACACCCAATGTTTTATTTATTTTAAATCTTCTTAAAGAATAACGCCAATTTTATTATTTATACTTAAAATAAAAGAATTTTTTAAAATATGGTATCTGAATTAGTGATCTGCATCGGGCCTAATTTTTCAAGCCTGGCATGGCCCGAAATTTTTTTTTAGTAAAGCTTTGCCGGCCCAAACCCGAAATTTTTTTTAAAACAATTTACCGACCTAGCCCGGCCCGAATTTATTTAAATATAGAAATTAATCTTTATAATTACTCAAAATAAAAGGCATATGTTATATGTCGTTTAGTTTCAATAAATAAAATCAAATATTTTTTTTTACATAAAAAAATTCAATATAAAATTGATAAATTTAGATATATTTAAAAAAATTTCCAAGGTCCGATCCGATTCGGCCCGAATTTTTTTAAAATATTGGGCCCGGCCCGAACCCGATTGTTTTAAAGAGAATTCGGCCCGAAGCCCGATCGGGTCGGGTACGAGCCGGGCCTAACTTTGCAGATCTCTAATCTGAATTATGGAAATATTTTACTTTGTTAATTTTGCAAGGAGGAATAATGAAAGTTTCATTAATTCCATCTTTTGCATTAAATATATTGATTTCGTAATTACATTTTGTTCAAAGGGGGGTGGTGAAAAATCAGTATAAATATCGGATCGGGTTTGAACCAATATTGGATCGGATCTGTGAAAAATATGTGGATCAGCACACCCCTAATTTTAATATATTCTACTGTTGACTTTAGAACTAGAGTGTATCATGACATAGGAAATTCATAGTTTTAAAGTGAATAATTTTATACTTACCTGTTTTATCCTAGCATGTTACATGAATTTTGAGCTTAAATTTTGCCTTTTATTTATTATTTAACTATTTATTGGATTCATATTAAAATTGATTCAAAATTTTACAGTGAAATTGTCTTAAACTACATGCTACAATACGATTTCCTCAAAATCATGGCTATAAAAATTAAAAAATACGTGCATAGTGATTTAAATTTTACGAATTCCTCCATATCCTAATGCACTAAATTTTCCACAAACTCTTCAAAATATGTACTCATTTTTTTACATGTCAATTATGGCACACTCAATTTTAACCCAACGATTAGATAGTTTGTATTGTGCTTAAAAGTACCAGATGGTTATAAATAATAGATTATTTATCTATGTTTTGGCAGTCGCTCGAATCGAAACGGTCTTAATTTAATAATCATACTTTTACAGGATTTATGTCACTATTAACTTTAGTTGTAAATAAAATGTTTATTGATAAAATAATAAAATTTATTTATCTACCAATAAAATTTAGCATCATTATTTTCCCCTAGATATTTTTTTAAATAACTACCATCTTGTGAGACCGAACATTTTTCGGTCTGAAACTAGAATATCATTGTGGAAGCTTTCCTATGATCATCCTATATCGAAGTCAGTTTCAAATATAATTTTTCCCCTATAAAGCGTTAATGTTATGATCGCCTAAATATTTTAGTAAATTCCATAATTCATAAAATTCCCATAATATTTCAATGTAATGACAAATCTTGTTTAAAAAAAATAATATATAATAAAAACCCGTTGCATTTAAGAAAAATAAGAACAATAAATAAGTAAATGTTTTAGCGTTAGGAATCGATGCGTCTGCCATTTTTAGCACTTTCTTTGTTATATTAATAGGGCCTTTTGATTTCCTCTATAGTATATTTCGAACCGCTCACTTACAACGATACTTATACATATCCGCAATGGGCTACTGTTGTTGGGTGGCTTTTAGCGTTAGCATCTCTCGTTCCCCTTCCCATCCTCATGTATGTCGCAATCCATAAGTCGCCTGGAAAGACTTGTTACCAGGTTTTATCATTTATTGTTTATCATATTTTATTTTTATGTTAAATAAAGATTTTTTTAATATCACATATTTTATATATTTTTTTCTATTATTTTATTAGAAATTCAAAAATTCATTGAAACCTACCGAAAAATGGGGCCCTTATCTTGAACAAGATTGCATTGAATACAAAGAAAAGATGGCAATTTTAAAGTTTATAGAACCCATATTTTTATTATATATGTTTTTTTAAAAATTAATCAAAAAATTTTTCAAGATAATTACCCAGATAATTTTTTTGATTTCTATTTGTTAATTGAGGCAGAGGTTGAGTTACGTGCAGAAAATCAATGGCCAAGAGGCTTTACATATGGCGCGAATGAGTCGTATTTCCTTACGCACTTTATTTAAAGAACGGTATACAATAAATGCATAACGGCAACAATTTCTGAGCTGACTTAAGTGGGTCTTACATTCATGCTGCCGCATTTTAAAGAAACACACAATGGTCTTATCATTTTTGCATTTTATTGGCTGGATAACTAGATTTTTTTGACTTGTTATTCCACAATCAATGTCCAAGATCTATCCAAAGGGGGTGGATTATTACAATTTGTTGGGCGGCTTCACCAACAAACAATATTTACTGGCCTGGTCCCGCCTATGATAAATTATGATTAGATATTTTTTTATTTTGCTCTTTAAAATTTATAATATCCATCTCCATTAAAATTGGCTGAACAGACACAATTCTAAAATCTGCCAATGTTTCGTGTTTTATTTGTGTTTATGGGTGCGTGCTTTAGCTAGTTTAATAGTGTTACTAAATGGCATTTTTAAAAACGGCTCTTCCAATATTTTAGTCATAAATTATTTTGCAAGCCTGGAAATTTTGCTTATAGATAGCAGAAGTGTGGTAGTAACAAAACCTTGAGACTTTTTAAATATTATTTTGGCTAAAATCTTATTTAATATCGGTGAAATCGAGTTAACACTACAGTATAGTAGCCAATGGAAATTTATTAACAAAATTATCCATTTTAAATGATATGATATATTACGAGAATGGTGTCCTTCAACCTTGTTTGTCTCAGGACCTCTAGCATAATTGGGGAGGGATGGGGCAAATTTGTCTGTTTTGGTAAATATTATATTTTATGAATTTCTCCCTAGACACCCCCCTCTCCATTTGAAAGAAATATTAGAAAAAGTTAATAATTTTATTATTATAATGCCTTCAAAATTTTTAGAAAAAAGGCATTTTTATAAAAAAAACATGAAAGCCCAAAATTATTTTTATAAAATCGAATATAACCAAAGTGGACCTAATTCAATAGTGCTCCCCTCTCTTAGCAAAATCCCTGATACAAGGGAGTGGCTCCTTTGGAAGATAAAGAGCGCGATGCTAATGTATAGCTATAATTAAGCCCGAGACTAATATTGTGACTTAGGTGGGTTGAGATTTTCCAATGGGAATGCTTCGAAAAATTTATAATAATTCCATATGGAGATGGGAAAGTGTAATCGCCCTCGGGTTGTCCTCTCGATTTAAGGTATGCAACGGAGTTTCCAATCAATTGCTATCGTTTCTCTAGGGGGAGGGGTAACCTAGCGAAAGAGGTTTCCAAATAGTAGAATTTCTGGTTAGTTTACCTATGATGGTGTTACAAAATGGACGCATGGATATGAAAGCGTTAAATAACGAAGGCGTCCTAGCCTATCTTTGGGCGTAAGGTAGCTTTTCCCTAATAGGTTAGACTCTTAAGCTTGTTTTTCTAGAAGGATACCATTTTGTGAGGATCGCAATGTACTTTGTAATTTCATTCTTAAATATGAAGAAGACCTTGTAGGCTGGGGACACACACGATAGTATATTGCATATAAGATTTCTCTCTTGGGAAACACCAGCAAGGAAATTGTTTGACTCAACAATCTTTATCGGAAATCTTAGATATACTAGAGTTTTATTGTGCATGAGAATGTAAGATAATGATTAAGTAGACATATCTGGGTTGGTTTTATTTACTGCTTTCTTATTGAATATTTGTTTTGTTATTCTAAAGATTAAACTCCAAAAGCCTCATAAATCTTTTAATATGATGCCATTGGCCATCAAGAATCATCAGGGTGTATTGCCAGGAGGATACGGAGGCTCCCCCGCTAATTTTCTTTTTTAGCCCCTTTCCAAATTTTGAGGGGGAAGGGTTTACCGCTAATTTTTTTGTTTTTTTAGCCCCTTTCCAAATTTTGAGGGGGGGTTTAGCTCGCACCAAAAAAATTTGTTATTTTTTCAAAGTGTTAAATCTAAATCCCTTAGTGTTGTTAAACGGCTAAGCCGAGTCGATTTAGCTACGACTCGAGCCAGTTTCTAGTCGATAAAACGGCTCAGACTCGAGTCGACTAAATGAGCCGCATTAGTCGGCTCATTTAGTCGGCACACTTAGTTGATTCAGAGGTTAGCTTGAGTTTAATTTAAATTTAGACCCAAAATTTATTTTTATGTTATTGAGATATTTTAAATAATTAGAATTTTATTTATTTATTTTTAGTGAAATAATTTATTTTATTTATATTTAATATTAATATTTTATTATTATCAAACAAAAATTTTTTTTTAATTTTATTTCAAATATGTTTTGATCTTATAATAAAAATGGATTTATTTATTTGATTTTTTTTAAATAAAACAAAATTCATATTTTCGAGCTAAAAATTTTAAGCAAAAAATAATTTTTGAAATACAAACATATTTTGTTGATTTTTTTATAAATTTTTAAATCTTTTTTAAGAAATACTTTTGTTAATTTTATCATAAATAAATAATCTTTTAGGTCAAATCTTCTATAGTTTTTTTTATATTATTTTTATAAATATATCTATATTTTAAGTTTATTTTATTATAAGAGGTGGTTTTTCTAAATAATTTTTTTATAAATATATCTATATTTTAAGAATATATAAAAGAGCTGGTTTTTCTTTTTATAAATATATCTATATTTTAAGTATATTAAAAGAAATGGTTTTTCTAAATTATTTTTTTATTAATATGTCAAACTTTTTTTTAATGCGACAATTGTCATATGCGTTATTTTTTTAAATTTTTGAAATTTTTGGACACAAAAGGGTTATAATATAATTTATATTGTAAAGATATTATATTATAAATTCAATGAAGATGTTCCCTGGAAAAATGATAATTATCATAATAGGTAGGTATTTTTGAACATATAAGATTTTTTGTGACGCTAATGGGCAAAAATATGTTTCTTTAACAGGTAAAATTTAATGTAGATGTACCCTAGATAAATGACAATTGTCATAATAGTTATTTTTAAATTTTTTTGATGTAAATAGGCTAAATAAGTACTGCTAACATGTCTAAATAATACTTCAGTGAAGATGTACCCTAGAAAAGTAACAATTGTCATAATCATTATTTTTAAAGTTTTTTAAATTTTTTGGCTTAAATAGGCTAAAATAAGTATTGCTAACATATCTAAATAAACCTTCAGTGAAGATGTACCCTAGATAAGTGACAATTGTCATAATCGTTATTTTATAATTTTATTGATGCAAATCGATAAAAATATAGATTTTAATCATGTTAATTTAAAAGCTCGCGTGTTGTTATTATGGCATTTATATATCAAATTGTTTAATTAATTAAAAAGTAAATGTTTAGCATGAAAATTATAATTTTATTAATATAAATAAAACTTATATTTTATATATTCGTTTGTTTAAATCAATTTTTTTTATATTAACCTATTAAACAATTAATTTAAGAATGTATATAAATTGTTAAAATTTATTAGATAGTGAATGATAAAAGCTATATATTTAAAATAAAATTGTACCTTTATATTATCATCATCTTATGCCTATAGCCTTGCCTACTTTTTCATGTATATTATCACATGTTTTATTTATAACTACAGGTAAATATATAAAAAACTCTAATATACCCTCTACTCGAGCCCTATATTTTAAAAATAATTTAGCTTAAAATTTTTGTTTGAGATATATCATTACATTTTGTAAAATAATTTCATATATTTAATTCTTATAAAAAACAAGACGCTAATATTCTTCTGTATCTTCGAATTCAAAAATAAACTTAGAAAACAGTCGGAATTTACGCTAGAGTCAAGTTCATTTCATTACAAGATCATTTAGTTAAAATATCTATTTTATATCTTACGTCGATTCGATAAAACTATTTTATAAATTTAAAAAAAAATAAATAGGGACGCATTTTTTAACTATATATATTCTTTATTTATAAAAAAAACATTCACTTTATATTAAATGTATAAATAAAATCTGCTAAAAAATTATTTCCATAAATCTTCCTTTAAATTTAAAATATTAATGTCCCATGAATTTAATGAAAGACATTCTTTCAGAGTTGACGATGACATTCTGTTTCTTTTGTTGGTATAAATATCGGCAGCCCTTGAAAACAATCTTTCACTCGCAACCGATGTTGTTTGTTGCCCTAAATAATCTCATATTCGACAACCTAGGGAATCTCTTGGAATTTCCAGACCACCAACCAAGAACATCCACTGTTGTCTTAGCCACAGGATCCGCCAAATAATCCTCAATCTCGTCTAAAGCCGGATTTTGCTTAACACAAGCATCTCTAAATATTAAATATGAATGATTGTATATAAATAATTAGAATTATATTTACCTTCTCAACTCATTCAATATATTTACCGACATCATAGTAGAGTCGGGATCCTCATAATCATATTCTTGACTGGATGAAGCTTGATAATTATTAAATAAGTCTTTAAATCTTTCATAATATCCGGATGAATTCATAAAACTAGGGATAAAGATTTTCTTGATTTTTGGGTCAAGAAAACTACCTACGTAGTTTTCAAATTTTGTCATGAGGGATGTATATATGGCGCATTTTTTTAACATTATCTTGGAAGCCATTTTAATAGCCTCATTAGAGTGATAGGCAGCATGCCTATCTAACTCCCTATAAATTTTGTCGATGTAGAGAATTGCCCCCTATTGTAGGGGATTTTTCAGATGATATTTCACATGTTATTTTATAAAATGGGTATAAAAATAATTCTAGTTGCCTTAAAAAATCGCATTCGTCACTATTTAAGCAAAAATTCTCTTCCCCAAAAATATTCTTTCCCAACTCTATCACAGCCTGGATATTCTATAAAAAATAAATAATTATTGAACATTAAATATTTTTATAATACTTTATTAATACTCGATAACATTATGTATTTACTATTCCATCGAATTACCACATCCATCGGTATTCGCACACCACTAATCTTGATGAACTGTTGCATACATTTAGAACTTCTATGCAATTTTCTAACAAATTTTTCTACAGTAGATAACTCGTTAGAAAACGAATCGATGCCTTCCTTCACAATTATATTTATTATATGTGCCAGGCATCTCTGACTGTTAATGTTTTTTTTGTATTTAAATTGGAAATTTTGGTTAATTAAATCCAGTGCTGCTATAATATTCGACCCATTATCATGGGTGATGGTTAATATTTTCTTTTCTATTGTAAAGTTTTTTAAACACGATATAATTAATTCACATATGTCCTCCCCTTTGTGAGGGTATGGAAACTCTATAATGTCCAATAAAAAATTTTTCAACACCCAGAATTCATCAATAAAATGTACAGTGATAGCACAATATGATATAGAATTCTGGGTCCATAGATCTGTGGTTAAAGAAATAAGGCCTTTTACATTTTTTAAAATTTTTATAATGTTGTCTTTAGCGCTTTGGTATATAGTAGACAAATACTTTTTGCCAGTCTGTCGACAGACAATCTTTATATTTTTATTAACATATTTGAACATATCCTTGAAACTTTCACTTTCCAATACATTAAACGATAAATTATTTTTTATTAGGTATCTTATGACTAATTTATTCATATATAGATTTTCGGTATCAGATAATTTTCTTCCGAACAATGAATCAGGGACTTCGATGCATTTGGTGGATAATTCTCCCGGATGCATAGACTTCATATGCCTTCGTAAATTTGCTAAAAATATTTATAAAATGTGAATGGGGAGTAAAACTTATTGAAAGTTTCGAAATATTAAGGATATAGATGATATAAAAACCTATTCTGATTAATAAGTCATTAGATATTATTAGACCTGTGCCCCGCCCTGATAAACAATAAAGGAAGGAATAATTGATTTTCTAAAGTTTAATTTAAATAAAATGATTATTAAAAATAAAATGTCTAGGATATATAAGATAATTGATTACTCGCGGTGGCAAACATAAAATACCGCCGCCGTAAATTGAGACATCGAATCGGCGCACAGGTCTAGATTTTATATTATTAATAGATTTATCTAATGAAGGCTTACATAATGTCGAGAATCTAAAATTAAAATGATTTATTTTAATCAGAGTAGTTAAGTAGCTGGACCTTTTTTGTTATTGATTGATAGGTAATAGCGCGCTAGATAGCAGACAAAAAGGCCATAATTAGAACCATAAAAACTTCCCTTTTTATGTATTATGTTATGCATTTGCATTATAAACAAAAAATAAAACAAATTTATTTATAATTATTTTTTATAAAAATATTAATAGGTAACCAAAGTTATTTTAAAAAAAATACTAGCTAATAGCGTGCTACATTTTTTTTGATGGGCAGCGATAGCGGTAGCGCGCTACTTATAAAAATATGGTTTAACAACTTTGATAATTTGGTATTTTTATTGAATTAACACACATAAAATATTTATAAAAATTATGAATGATTATTTAAAAAATATATACTTGTCGCCGTACTAACTCGATACATCTTCTGGCATAAAGAACATTTCCTATGTGTCTTTTTTGGAGTATGGTAGAAATAATTCTTAATATTAAAAATATCAGAACTATTCACGAAATCATCCCCATTCATTTCCAGCATTGAACTACACCTAAATGACTCAGTAGAAGTCTATATAAAATTAATAATTATTTTAAAAAATAATTCGGGCCGGGTCTATCTTGAAAAATTTGGCTCGTCGAAGGGTATTCGGAAATAAAAAAAATAATTATCGGGAAAAAATTACCATATAAAATTATTCCCCGGAAATAAATTCCCCATTTTTTAGATTTTAAAATAACTATATCCCAGGAAAAATAAATTCTAGTAAATAATTAGCCGGAAAAAATATTTTCCGGAAAAAAAATCCTATCAAAATAATTAGCAGGAAATTTTCTTTATAATTTTAAATATATATATAATTCATTAAGAAAACACAACAGGAACTATAATCTTAAAATAGAAACTTATTTTATTTTAAAAATTTCTAACAATGTTATTACATTACAGTCAAATTGATCAAAAAAGGCCCATTTTCGACCGAGCCCTTTTAAAATTGTTAAAAATTTCTGGAATTATTTAGAAGGGGAAATAAAAGAGAAAGCCGTTTATTTTAGCTCGCTAGCACACCTGGTTCTTGAGATATAGGGGCTTATAGGTACAAAAAAGAGCCAATTTGGAATCTGTAAAATTTTTAAAATGCTTATATCTCAAGAACTATTTATAGTAAAAAAATAATATAATATATCATATTGTAGGTAAAAAAAATCTCTAAAGGACTATCAAAATAAGATAAAAATTGGAGCCAATTTGAGTCTTTAATTTCCGGTTTACCTATAATGCTTTACCTGTATTTTTAAGCAAAAAAGGGAGTTTGTTTTCGAAATTTTTTTATTGCTTTTTATTTAGACACCTTTTATAAATATATGTATGATGTCAAAACCTTGGCGACGCTATCGACTCTTCCAAAATATACATTTTTATCAAAAATCGTAAATAAAAATAGATGGCGCTAATGTTTAAAAAATATTATTTCTAAAAATGAAAATATTTATAAGTTTATAAGAAATGCCATAAAATTTTCCAGTTCTGCTCCCCCCCCCCCACCATCCTTATTTTTTTTACATATTTTAGATCTCTGCTTTACTACTATAATAGCGAATGACTTTTTGGCACGATAATATAACAGCTGCATTAAAAAAGAATTTATATTAGATATATTAACGATTATATTTTACGATAATAATTTTAAAAAATTAAAAGTTTAAAACAATCTCTTTCTGTTTAATATAATTTTTTTTCCGATCAGATTAATTTTAAACAAGCCATATTCTAGGTTCAAATTAAATAAAATTTTATTCTATATAAAAGATGGATATACCAAATATTAAAATATCAAGATGTTGTAACCAGGGTTGCCATGTCTCCCCCCATCAGTGGGAGTCTCCCACAATTTTTTAGTTTATTCACATACATCTCACTCCCACAATTAGAAATCTCCCACAAAAAGCTCCCACAATTTTTTAATTTCTCCCACAATTTTTTTTTAGCATTTTAATGTTTTTAATATATAAATAATTTTGAGAGACAGTATTTGATTATTTTTATATTTTTAAAATAAATTTTAAATATTTATTCGAAAAATATGTCTAGTTCTTTTATTTTATTTTTCCGCTCTAAAATATATTTATTTTTTTATAAAATTCTCCAATTCTCCACTCGACATTTTCAAAATTTTTGTGTTAGAAAGAATAGAAGTTAGAACAGTATGTATAATTATTATAAATATATTTTAAATTACTCAATATATTTTATATCGTTATCTAGAATTGCAGTGCTCCACTCGATATTTTCCAATGTGTTAGAAGAATAGAACTTTTAGAAGTGGATATTATTCTAATCTCTAATTCTTTTAAATAAAGTTAGTGGATGAATAATATTGATTAAATAATATTTTTCACTACTTACTTTTATACTATTCCATGAAGTATATGTCAAGCAAAAGATTATAAATATAATTAATATATTATTCAACAATAGCTAAAAATCAAAGTGTATTTACCGAATTGAGGCAGCACAATAATGAATTAATACCAATTGGCTGTATATGCCATATACTGCATAATTCTTGCAAGAAGGCAATGAATGTACTATCTGTAAATGTCGAAGTAATTGTGATGAAATGTTTTAACGAATTTAGTTCATCAACTAAAAGAGTCACTGAATTAAAAGAATTGGTGGAGTGGTCTGATTTGGAATGGTGTGAGTTGTTGCGATATGTACCTATCAGGTGGTTATTATTAATACCTGCCATCGAGAGAATTTTAAAATTTTACGAACCCTTAAAGAAATACTTCTTAAATAAAGATTTTAAAAGCTGTCCTAAAATTTTGAAAATTTTTTCGAGGATGAAATGTCCGAAGCATATTTGGGATTAGTTTCACATGTAGGAAATCTACTTCATGTAGTTAATATTCAGTTGCAATCAGAAGATTCTTTATTGATAAAGATTCACAAAATCATGCTACAGCTCTGTTCATCTCTACAGTTAAAAATAGATAATAAATTTTATGGCGCTATTGCTAAAAATATCATATTAAAATGTTCAAATATTACTATAATTAACGTATTTTTAAATGAAACAAATATTTTTATTAAGACAATTTTGGAATATTTACAATCAAGATTTGATTTTAATAACTCTATTTACAAGTGTATAAATATTATGACCTTGGAACAGAAACCATCATTTGATGGTTTTTGTAATTTAATAAATATATTAAAATTACCGATAGACATTGAAGCCTTGTTTGAAGAGATTGTTATTTTTTCCATATTTTATGATTCGCCAGAATACTTAAAGTTAGATGGTCTAAAAGCAGAGGAGAAATGGGTAGAATTTTTTCGTAATAACGATAAATCCCCATGCTTGGAAAAAATTTGCGAGTATGTTTTCTCCTTACCTCATCCTAATGCCTCATCGGAGCGCATTTTTAGCCTGATGAGGACTGCCTGGAGAAAGGAGATAAATCGAATTGCTTTAACAACATTAGAGGCCGAGTTAATGGTTAAACAAAATTATAAAATGTCATGCCAGGAATTTTATAAATATCTTAATAACGACGGTAAACGTTTAGTTCCATTATTTAAATCTCAAATAAAATATAATTAACTATAACTATTTGACTTTCTATATTTTATAAAATCTTATTTATACATTTGCATAAAATGAAATAAATTTATTTTTTACATTGTAAAATTAATATTTTGAATATTTTGGCAAATCATAAAAATAAAGAAGCATTACAATCTCCTCAAACATGACATCATATTAAATCTTATTAATAATTATCCGATAATAGTAATAATATTCTTACTTTGGTATTTCTGCAGCATAATTTAGTGAACCTTTATTAAATTATATTCTTCTGATTGCAACTGCATATAGTAGATTTCCTATATGTAAAATTCCTAAATATACTTCTGCCATTTATTTTTGAAAATTTTTTTCAAAATATTAGGACAGCTTTTATAATCTATTTATTTTTTAAAGGTTTGTAAAATTTTAAAATTCTACAATGGCGCGTATTAGGAGGAACCTGTCAACCAACATTATGCTGACTCAATTCTGTAAATACACTCTGGTTTTTGCCAAATTCACTGAGGAATTATCAGATCAGAAAGCTGCCATGTAATTCATTGGTAATGACAAATCTGCCATATTTACCATTATATATGGTTAGCTATGTCTTTGGATATTTCATATCTGGAGAAATTTTTTTTAATAGTTTTATTGAAATGACATTAATTTTGTTAAAATAGGGGAGGATCAAGGGAAATGTTTTGATATCTCCTTATTAGATGCATCTGTTAGAATTGCATATGTTTGCATATCTTTCAAATCGTCAAGAATTGACCTTCTGGATTTATATCCTAAAACATTGATGATAGCCTTGCTCATTTGTGTTCTACAATGTATACTTTTTTTTTATAAAATTTTATCTTGTTTACATTCTTTTGTATTTAAAAAAGATCGTTGGTTTATTTTTAAACAAAATTAATATATTATAATAAATCAATATGTTATTTTAATAATAAAGATAGTATTTAAGAAATTTTGTGTCGTACAATTACCTATTTTGAAAAATAGTTGCATATTTTATTTTGGAAAATAGTTACCTATTTTATTTTGAAAAAGAGTTGGATATTTTATTTTGAAAAAGAGTTGGATATTTTATTTTGAAAAAGAGTTGGATATTTTATTTTGAAAAATAGTTGGCTATTTTATTTTGAAAAATAGTTGGCTATTTTATTTTGAAAAATAGTTGGCTATTTTATTTTGAAAAATAGTTGGCTTTGAAAAATAGTTGGCTTTGAAAAATAGTTGGCTATGCCCGCAATTTTTTTTTTTTTTAGCAATTTTCATATTTCTCCCACAATTTTTATATGACTCCCACAAAATACCGAATTTCTCCCACAATTTGAAAATTTTGACCTGGCAACTCTGGTTGTAACCCATTTAATTTACAAAAACATGCAAATTATCGCAAGAATCTAAGAAAGATTCAACCTTGGATGACCAAAAAAAATTTACCAATATTTTGCTGAAAATTATGCCTTTGTGGTTCAAGATGAAGTACAGGGGTTTCACTGGAATAAATCTCAAGTTACCATTCATCCTTTTGTCATTTATTACAAGTCACTTAATAATTTAAATCATTTAAGTTTCGTAATAATATCTGAATCTCTCGTTCATAATACAATTGCGGTTCATATATTCCAAAAATATTTAGTTCAATACTTAACAAAGAAATTTCAATGCCTGCCAAAAAAATTCATCTATTTTTCATATGGAGCAGCAGCTCAATATAAAAATCGGAAAAATTTAATCAATCTTTGCCACCATGAATATGATTTCGAGATAAAAGCTTAGTGGCATTTCTGGGCTACATCTCATGGCAAATCAGCTTGTGACGGGGTCGGAGGTACCGTCAAGCGTTTAGTGGCTAGAGCAAGTTTACAAAGACCTACTTCAGAACAAATAACTTCTCCTAAAGAGTTTTTTGCCTATTGTAAGGAAAATATAAAAGGTATATGATTTATAATTTATTAATATATATATTATAATTTTTTTATTAAGGAATAGAGTTCTCCTATATTATGGAAGATGAATATGAGAAAGAACAAATAATTTTAAAAGAGAGATTCGACAAAGCCCGTACTATACCAGGGACGCAAAAATTTCATGCTTTTTTTCCAATTTCTCAGGATAAAATTGAAACAAAATTTTATTCTAATTCAACAGAATCGCAAATATTAAATATAACATTTCACAAATTTTAAATTATGGAATGAATATGATTGTCTATCTCTATTTCTATATTATTAATATGAATGAATAATAAAAAAATTATACGAAAGATTTTATTATTGGAAATATATTACATTATTAAGTGTCTAATGGGCATTTACCCACACTGCCCCTCAATTTATTTAGTATATTTAATAGAAATTTAAAATATTTTTAGTATAAAAAGTGAAAATATCCGTTTATTGATAAGTTTGCACAAAATCCGTAATTTCATAAAGCGCCATCTATTATTTTTTTAAATATTTGGAGTCGATAGCGTCGCCAAAGTTTTGACATCGTATATATATTTATAAAAGGTGTCTAAATAAAAAAATTTCGAAAACAAACTCCCTTTTTTGCTTAAAAATACAGGTAACATTATAGATAAACCGGAAGTTAAAGATTCAAATTGGCGCCAATTTTTATTATTTTTTGATAGCCTTTTAGATATTTACCTACAATATGATATATTATATATCTTTTTACTATAAATAGTTCTTGAGATATAAGCTTTTTAAAAATTTTACAGATTCCAAAGTGGCTCTTTTTTGTACCTATGAGCCCCTATATCTCGAGAACCATATGTGCTAGAGAGCTAAAATAAACGGCTTTCTCATTTATTTACCCTTCTAAATAATTCCAGAAATTTTTAACGATTTTAAAAGGGGTCGGTCGAATCGTGATCGATTTGACGTGGAATGGCCCATAATCGTAATTATTTCTTTTCTGTAAATTTTGAAAAAAAAAATCATAAGCAAAATAATTTAAAAAATAGAAACCTGGTTGAATTGCAAATTTCCTATTTTGCCACAGAATTTATATATATAATTATATCATTTAATATGCCCATCATTAGTTTAGGGTCGGGCCGTATTTTAATTTTTTTTAAATATACCCGGACCGTGCCGGTTCTGAAAAATTTTTATAAAAAAATCGGGCCTGGCCGTATATTTAAAAACCAAATATTTGAAATCGCCATTATTAGTTATAAAAATTAATAATATTTATAATCTATTTTTAAAAAAGTAGGGCCGCGAATATAATTTTAAAAAAGATGCGGGCCGGGCCGTGCATATGATATCTCTGCAAATCAGAGATTCTCTGATATTAGTATTTATAGTTTTGCTCAAATAAGAATAAGTTCATTTTTCAAGCATACCAAAATAAAATTATATTTTATAATTAACAAAAAAATAAAATACATAATTATACCTCAATTTCCTGCTGCGACTGTGAGGTCGATTGGAAATCTTCATCTATAGAATTAGATATATTTAAAAATTATTTTTATTTAGTCTGTCATTCCTCTCCTATTTTTTTTAATAATAATTTTCTTATTTATTAACTTTCTCTTTATGTTTATTAATTATTTCCATTTATAATGGCATAAGCGAAGGCGAACATGATTTATATAAAAATAATAATTAAAAAAATAAATCAAGCGAAAAAATAAATAAATTATATAAATAAAAAAAGAATTTTAATTTTTAAAAAGTAAAATCTTATTCAATTGATTTGAGTCTATAGACTAGTAAATTCCGACTGTTTTCTAAGTTGCTTTATCATGAATTAGAAACTTATATTATACAGAAGAATATTAGCGTCTTGTTTTTTATAAGAATTAAAAATATAAATTATTTGACAATATGTAAAGACATCTAAAACAAAAATTTTATGCCTAATTTTTTTTAAAATATAGGGCTAGGGTAGAGGGTATAGTAGAGTTTTTTAATATATTTACCTGTAAATATAAATAAACAAGTGATAAAATACATGTAAAAGTAGGCTGGGCTATAAGCATAAGGTGATGATAATTTGTAGGTACAATTATATTTTAAATTTATAAATTTTATCATTCACTATCTAATAAATTTTAACAATTTAAAAATCTAAATACCTATAAAAATAACAATTATGATAATTGTCTCTTTTTTAGGGTTCATCTACAGTGAAGTTTTATTTAAACATGTTAGCATTACTTATTTTAGCCTATTTACGTCAAAAAAATTTAAAAAACTTTAAAATTAACTATTATGACAATTGTCATTTATCTAGGGTACATTTTCATTAAATTTTTAATTTATCATCTTAGCAATCTATATTTATGCCCATTTGCGTCAAAAAACTTTAAAAATAATGATTATGACAATTGTCACTATTCTAGGGTACATCTTCACTGAAGTTTTATTTAGCCATGTTGTTAGCAATACTTATTTTAGCCTATTTACGTCAAAAAAACTTTAAAAATAACTATTTTGTCATTTATCTAGGGTACATCTTCATTAAATTTTTAATTTAACATAATAGCAATCTATATTTATGCACATTTGCGTCAAAAAACTTTAAAAATAACGATTATGACAATTGTTACTTTTTTAGGGTACATCTTCACTGAAGTTTTATTTAGCCATGTTGTTAGCAATACTTATTTTAGCCTATTTACGTCAAAAAAACTTTAAAAATAACTATTTTGTCATTTATCTAGGGTACATCTTCATTAAATTTTTAATTTAACATAATAGCAATCTATATTTATGCACATTTGCGTCAAAAAACTTTAAAAATAACGATTATGACAATTGTTACTTTTTTAGGGTACATCTTCACTGAAGTTTTATTTAAATGTTAGCAATACCTATTTTAGCCTATTTAGGCTAAAAAAATTAAAAATATTGAAAATAAAAATAACGATTATGACAATTGTCATTAGAATTTATCTAGGGTACATCTTCATAATTTTTAATTTAACATGTTAGCAATCTATATTTATGCCCATTTGCATAAAAACTTTAAAAATAACGATTATGACAATTGTCACTTTTTCAGGGAACATCTTCACTGAAGTTTTATTTAAATGTTTGCAATACTTCCTTTAGCCTATTTAGCTAAAAGAAACATCTTTTTGCCCATTAGCATCACAAAAAAATCTTATATGTTTAAAAATACCCACCTATTATGAGAATTATCATTTTTCCAGGGAACATCTTCATTGAATTTATAATATAATATCTTTACAATATAAATTATATTATAACCATTTTGTGTCCAAAAAATCTTAAAAAATAACGCATACGACAATTGTCGCATTATTGACATAAATATTTATAAAAAAATTATTTAGAAAAATTTCCTCTTTTAATATACTTAAAATATAGATATATTTAGAAAAAAAATTATTTAGAAAAAGAAAAACCACCTCTTTTAATATTCTTAAAATATAGATATATTTAGAAAAAAATTATTTAGAAAAAGCCACCTCTAATAATAAACTTAAAATATAGATATATTTATAAAAATAATATAAAAAAAACTATAGAAGATTTGACCTAAAAGATTATTTATTTATGATATAATTAAGAAAAGAATAAAATTTTATGATAAAACAAAAGAATAAAATTTCATCAAAAAATCAGCAAAATATGTTTCAAAAATAAAAATATATTTTTTGCTTAAAATTTTTAGCCTAAAAATATTAATTTTTTTTTATTTAAAAAAAAATCAAATAAATAAATCCATTTTTATTATAATCAAAACATATTATTTGCATTAAATAAAATAAATTAATATTTTTGAGCTAGCCGACTAAGCGAGCCGACTCATGCGGCTTCTTGATCGGCTTGAGTCGGAGCCGTTTTTTACGACTCGAGTCGCAAGTCGTAAGAACTCAACTTTTTAACAACACTATCCCTTTTCTCCATTGTTACAAAAATTGCAATTTTTATATTGTCAAAAAATATTTTCACATTTTTTTTTATAGCCACATGGATAAGCCAAAAATTTCATTTTTTAACCCTTCACTACATAGGTGGAAAAAACTCCTGCGGTTACATAAATGGGGTCTATTTACCCCAAATTTTAAATTACTATATCTCAGAAAATAATATAATTTAAGACCTAAAATTTTACACACTTGTTGTAAAAATATTAGAGATAATAAATACAAAATTTCTAGATTTCCATTTACTTCTAAATAAAGTTATGGTATTTTTACTAAAGCTGCTCAAAAAAAATCTTTTTTTGGAACTTTCCTTAATCATTTGAGACCAAAAATAAACGAAAGGAAGCAAATTTGATTATATATTTTATTAATTCAATATTTTATAGTAATAATTAAATACATTTTATAATAAAACATTAGATATTAAAAAAAATATTTGATATTAAAGTTCATGCATCTTTTTTAAAAACATTCACGACATGTACATACATATGATCTTTGCATATAAATTTTGAACAAATAAATGAGGATTTCTTGTCCCTAACCCTTAGACAAGAGGAGCACCTTCCTTTTTGTTTGGTTGATATAGGTTTGAATTCTTCTATATTAAGCATATTCCCAATATTATCCCTTAGCAGTTTATTAACATGTGGGTTTTTGTACTAATATTATAAACTTTGATCTATTTATCTCCTTTAAATTATTGGACTTATAAATTATTAAAGAATTTATGCAAGATATATTCAACAAATTATAAAAAATTGCCATAGGCCATCTATTTGTTATTCTGGATATTGAATAATTTGAACATAGCTGATCCATAACATCAACACGAGCCTTGGTGAGATTGTAAAATGTGATAATTTCTGGTTTTTTCAAATCCCCAGTTGATGTATCAATATTGTTATCATAGTGAAGGGTAGAAAACATCATGCTTATACTTCTTTGGTACATATGATACTAATGTCATATTATCTTAGCAGGCAAATAAACTTGAACAAATATCTTTCTTTTTAAAATTATATGATATTGGAAACTGCTTTTTATTTTTTCTTAAAGTTCCTACTATTGTTAATGAATGGGAATTTAATAAATGTATAGCAAGTTCATAACTGGTAAACCAGTTATCTGTGGTGACATTCCTATTACTCTTAGAAATGGGCTGAATTAACCTTTCAACCACATCAAAAGGCTTATTTCTCAATTTATATGGTCCTTCAGGCTGATTGTCAGCATATAATTCTATTTTCAAAGTATAAAATGTCACTAGAATAATTCAAATTAAAAATCATATGTTAAATTTATGATTTTTTACTCCACCGAAAAAAATAAATAATATAAAATTTTCAAATTTAAAGTCATATATATCAATCAAAAAATAGATATAATTATATTTTTTTCAATTATATTTATTAACCTGACATACATAAATATAATTAGTAACAAAAAAAAAATTACGTCATTACATAGGTGGGGTATATTTTACCCCAAGCTCAACAAATAGCATATGTCTCAAAAACTATCAAATCAATAATCATGAAATTTGGAAGTTGTATTCCTTGTTACAAAATATTAAACTACTGAAAAAACCAGGTCGGAATATCTTCTAGGTTTTGTATTACAATTATTATAAAAGTTGTGGGGTCGTATTTACCCCACCTTTGTAGTGAAGGGTTAATATTTTTATTTTCATTATTTTTATATAAATTTTTATTAAAGCCAACAAGTACTGATGATAATAACTCCATTTATAACATGTTTTGAACCAACTCTAAAATGGTAAACCAATTTTAAAACGAAAACTATCATCGTCTCGATCTAGGTTAAAAATGATACCTCAATTTTGAAAAAATATACTCGCTATATGCTTAGCAAATTCTTTCCACTGTTAGAATGATTTCGCCGATTTAACAACACTACGGGCAAGAAATAGTTCAATTTTGACAAAATCATTTAATTGTTTAAATTAGATTTTGAAATAGGTAGGATGTTGTAATTTACTATGAAAGAAATAATAAATTGGGATATTTTTTATCAGGTTTTGGTGTCCTTTTGCCAATTAATTTTTTATGGATTAACTGAAATAAATCATTAGGGACATCTTGACAATAATTATTATGTAGACAATCCCCCTCTGAAATCTAATAACCTGCCAAATATTCAAATTAAATTAATGTGATGGTCTTCGACAATATATTGTAGAAGATTTTTCAAATGAACAATTTTAAAAATTCCTTAACTGTTTGTTATTTGCTACATTACTGTGAAACATAATCATATCATATTTTTTAAATAATATATAAAAAAATCGTAGCCCTCCGCCAAATTTTGGCAATACACCACTATTGAATATATATTTAATCTTAAACTAAAGGATCTCTCATTGTTAAACGGTCCTCCCTACCAAAACTGGTGGGTAGTGTTGCGTAATCGGCTAAAAACTACGCCTAAGCCTAAAAATTGGCTAAAATAAATTAGTAAAAAATTCTGCATCGATGCCTAGCATTAATTATTATTTATTTATTTTAGTAAAACAATTTATAATATTTATATTTAATATAAATATTTTATTATTATCAACAAATAAACATGATATGATTT